AAAATCAGAAAGTTTTTCAGGTGCTAACATGACTTACCACAAATGGAAAAATTCAGAAAGCACTAGAAATGTTCTTAGGTGATGTGCAGCTGTTGCAAGTGACCTCATCTTCCCTGGGAGGGGGTCCCCCTACCCAGCTACGTAGACTACGTTGGCGCCAGTTTTTTTGTTGTTTTTTTTTTTGTTTTTTTTTGTTAGAGATCGTCACAGTAAAACGTTCCTTCATGGATTATTTGCCAGGTGTTTCGTGCTCAGTAAAGATATTATTAACAATGTCAAAAAGTCCTGCATTTATATATTTTTTTTAAATTAGTGATCATGTTTTTGTACACTTACAGGAAGTACAAAACATTATTTTTACGTGAAATATTAATTTCATCACTTAACAAACCGTGTGAGCATTACATGACTAGCCTCATTACCTGTATCTGTATGTACACAACAGTTTTATTAAATTTTATATAAAACTACATTCAGTGTATATGTTATTTATATAACACAACCTTCAGGTTATATGCATAAGCAGTGTTAAAAATGTAAAGAGATATCGTGCTCATGCTTGGGTTCCATTCACAAGCTGGCCCATTTTGTATATTCCAAAATCCGAAAAGAAATCTAAAAACCGAAAAACTCCCGATCTCAAGAATTTCCGATAAAGGATTCTCAACGTGTTATCATAAAATATAGTTATTTTTTCGACGATATCTTTATTGAAAAAAATATTTGCTGTTATTGTACTACTATTTTCTGCCATCTTTCGACCAAATTTATAATTCCATCCTGTTAGAAAGTTTTATCTTTCTCAGCAAAGAGTTACTTCCAGCGTTTTTTGCAGCCTTTCAGATAACTTAAAAAAATTAATTGAATGAAACCGAAAACGACTAGATAAAATGGTTATTCGAAAGTACAAACAGAAATAAATCATGACAATTCTTTGGTTAATCGCAAAAAAAAAAAAAAAAAAAACATAACATTATCCTTGTGGACTACCCTAACGTGCCAAAAGTCAATGAATAGGAGCCGGATTTTGGCAACTCAATTTGGCAGCGATTTCACAAAGAGTCGGAAGATCTTTGGTAAAATGTTGAACCGAGCCTCTGTAAACATGGAAAGGGGCCTTCTCCCCGTTTCTCACTGACTAGACACATAGAACGCCCATGTTGCATCTCTATTCTCCTGCATGTTGGTATGCACTAAAATTGGGAAAGACCCTTTGCACGCTCACAATGAAACGAAAGGCGAAAATAAACGCCACGGCGTAAAATGAAAACTCGAAACTTCTTTCAAATATATTTAAGTGTTTATTCATATCTACACTTTAACGGTCTGTAGATAAGTGACACTCGGAGGCAATTTCAGACATTTCTAACGTCTCAGATTAACAGATCAGATTTTCCCCTCAATTCTTCCTCGTAGCAACTATCTGGTCATCCCAATATCACGTATCACCGATGGCAGATCTTAACGAAAGTTATCGTACAGCCGAAGGGAAAGTCTGTCATGTGCGGTCACGAAATGATCTACTTCTAATCCTAACTGCCACTTAATATGAGCTTATAACCGAAAATCCTTAATGTTCGATTTTTTTGTCACTTCTTCCCAAATGTTTTCATAAATTTATATTTTTATTCGTTTTCATTCAAAGTGGGCAACCGTTTTAAAGACAACATCAGACGGATTTATCACTGGTCATAAAACAAGACACAGTTAAGAGAGAGATAAAGTCCACCCACCATACCTTTCATCGTTTCATACCGTCTTTATAACTATCCACAGATATTTGTAAGTAGAATTTACATTGAAATAGACCACTACACAACGTCCCATAATTACTCGCCTGGGTTCATTTCGAGTGAACTTAGTGACTACTCTATTCGTCGGAACATTCCAGAATGCTTCTCATAGAAATTCTAAGCAACAGGAGCTCAATGATACGGTGCATTGTACTGCTGTAATTACCCATCGTTGTTCGAGCAAATGGAGTCCATGAATGGATGCAAGTTATCGAAAAAAAAAAGAATATAGTCTAGTGGTCAATGTTTTTGTTTGGCGGACTAGCTAACCCAATCCTGTACCGTGAATGCACCCCACAGTGTTATGGAATCAACACTTACCGGCTCTTCACAAGTAGGTTCAATATCTTCATGGGTTTACTAACATCCCAGATCAGATGGAACCTTGAGCCTTCGTACCATGCCACACATTACCAGTCATTCAGAGCTCAATAAGCGACTTCACAAATCCATGTAAAACGCTCTTATCGTTGTCTTGCTGATCCCATGGGCATCTATGGAAGCTAAAGGATGCTGAACAGAGCTGATGTATAAGCGTCTGATACTTCCTGCATTGAATGTAGAAGGAATTTAGCCAGCGATGCTTGTCTGTTATCGCAGACAAGTGTAACCCGAAGCTTGTAAACACGATGTTTAGGGATACCTGCTCGGCTACAGTGGGCGTTAATACGGTCCATCGGGTATCCTGGATTTACATATGACACTAAATCAAATGATATCCATTTACCCCACTCATTCAGAAATGGTATGTCTTATCCACCTGTCAGGCATTATTACGTCCCATCCAAACACGAAACAATTCCCGTCGTCTAGTCGCTGACTTAATCTGACTCCCCAGATGTCAACACTTAACTGATATACCTATAGATATAGCTTTTCCATGGAATCAAGTACCATGACATTTACATAACCTATCTAATGACATTTACTACTAGAGTTTATCAATCTGTTTTCTTTAACTAATTCAAATATTTTGCTCGTAAATTATCTTCAAATTCTGCTCTTGGCTCATCCGAAGTATATTTCCCTGATTTTTCTACTTAGAGTCTCTGCTGAATTATATGTATATAACTTATTTCAAAGAAGAATCTGCGGCAGGAATTGAAACTTGGCTTTCCGATTAACAATTCCGAACCATTATTCATTACACTACCCGCATATCCAAGCTTATAACACCTGGTATTCCCAAGAAGTCAACCATTTAGATACTGACCAGGCTCGATGTTGCTAAATTTCGCTGAGCATACTTGTATCGAAAAACAGTTCTTCTTCTTTTATGTACCATGTTCCCTCCAGATGTGAGTGATTGTGGCTCTCCACAATTTCCTATCCTTTGTCTGTGTATTCATCCCTGTTCGTGTTTTATCAGACATTTACGCCAGCTTCTTAGACAGGGTTACTTGCTGTTTCTTTTTGTTCCTTTTACCTTCTGTGTGTCCTTACTGTCTTTCTGGAAATGTCTTCTCACGAAAATTAACTTTCCCAACCACCATAGCTTGGGACTTAGGGTTGGACATTGGGGATGTCGGGACAGCAATGGAGAACCGAACTGTGGAGAAAGGAATTTTCAGTGGAGTTCCGACCAACCATAGGGAGGTTGAAGAATGATGATGATGATGATGATGATGAACGACAAATTCTCCAAGCCTTCTTTCCTCATATTTTTTTTTCAGATATGTAAACTGTCTCTTTCCGATTCTAAGTATACGTGTCCGTTTATTTTTTGCATTTTTGTTCCTCTTTCACCTTCAGTATGTTCTGTGAGTGTCGAATTCTCCAAGCCTCCTTTCTTCTGCAAAATAGAAGGATTTATATTACGTAGAAATTCAACACTATTTTGTTGTTTCTAATGAACATTTCCTGTTTCTTAATAATTTATTTAGCTCTTGGAAGTTTTCTTTCACTATTTCAATGCGAGTAAAGTTTTTTGTGTCCCATTTTCCATTCCTCTTAAGACCTTTGTCAGAGTTTTAGAATCTCCGCAAAATCAGCTAATTATCTGGTTTCAATAAAATCTTCGTGAGTGATTCACTTTTCAATGAATGTATTTATGAAAAGCCTATTTTCCAAGAAAAGCCTATTTTCAAAGAAAAGCCTATTTTCAAACGAAAAGCCTGTGGAAATAATTTTGTTATATAATCCAAATCCCCTTTAGTAAATTTTATGTAATCTGAATAAATTATCTTTTAGAAACTAAAGATATTTTACTTTCTATAAATTAAATCCCTGGAGATATTAAATCAGTTGGAATTTCATTTGAAACTTCTACTGAAAAGTCGAAAATATTTATTCAATCAGAAAACGAACATGTTTTTAAAAGTTTTTTTTTTATTCCGTACAGAAAATAAGGGATAAATATGATATATAAACTCTATACATCAGACTAATGATGGGTAATTGAATGACAAAATGAAAAAAACTGTGTAACACCTTTCATCCTTTTTTTGTTTGTTTTTAGTCTGATGAAGTTCTTTTTAAAGGACGAAACGTCTTATATTGAATGTTTCTATTTTGTCCTTCGATTGCAGTAAATATGTAATTAGAAAATACTGTAGAGCATTAAGCAATAATAAAATTATTTCCTTAGGATACTGGAGCGGACACACATAGGAGCGTGACTGCCCAAAAGTAAAAGGTTCTTGTCATATTTGATCATCCGTACCATGCGAAACGATTGATTTGTTTTCTACGGTTTATCAACCCTTTGGAGATTTTTGTTTAAGCAATTCCCTCCCAGTCGAGGCGGGAGTGCTACTAGCACGCAAGGGGTTACAGAGGATTGAGAACAAGAGTTAAGAGGCGTGTTTGAAGAAAGGATACAGAGAAGAACGTGGAAGAAGCTCAGGGTGTCATATGATGATTGACATTACATTTGATAATTTGAAGATTATAATTAATGGGGAAGCAAGTAAGGGGAAGGAAGTTCCACAGACGGGAAGTGTGAGAGAAGAAGCTGTTTGAGTAGAAGAGGCGGTTACATTTAAAACCAGAAAATGTTTTTAAGATTGTAAGAATATTCTTTTGAGATAATAATGGTTTAGAGACAGATATCTTACCAATTAACTCATAAATGGGGAAGAAAAGTTAGATTCATGCCTTTCCCAATGGTATTTTCGAATAAATAATAACAAAGTCAGACGGCATTGGAACTCGGCCCCGATTAACAATTCCGAACCATTATCCCTTATATAACCCGCACATACTATCTTACAGCACCTGGTGTTCCCAAGCGGTCACCCATCTAGGTACTGACCAGGCTCAACGTTGCTTAATTTCACTGATCGTACGGGAACCGGTACTTCAACGTGAAGTGGAATATGTAATTAGCAAATACAGTAGAGCATTAAGAAATAATAAAATTATATCCTTTGGCTACACTTGTCACTTTTATCATACGATGGTGTCCTCAAAAAGAAAATAGATCTTTGTCATATTTGGCCACCTGTACTTCAAATGTCCCATGCGACGCTTGTAATTTTAAGGGCACCTTCATCGATCATAGCGTAATCGAAGTCAAGTTGGTTGACATTAAAATATCTAAAACCTGCTTGCAGTACATAAAAATAGGTTCTTTTCGATGTTATTTTCATGCAGTTAAAAGTAAAAGCTATTTAAATTACTGCAATACGTTTAAATATAAAAAAAGAAATAGTGAAAGTATGTCCTCTTCTGTTTATCCAGAGTTGACGATACAAATCTGTGGGATCGTATCTATTCTAAAGGAGCCCAAACTCGATATTTAGATGGCGTCCTGTATAGAGTCACCCAGCAAAATTCAATAGATTTCAGCAATCCGAGAATGAATGAATTCCATAGATTGATTGAGTTGTTTGTTTAAGGCTTATCAATTTTTTTCCAGGTTGTTTAAAGCCAGAAAATGTTTTTAGAATGTAAGAATTTATTGGAGATTATAACGATTAACTGATACAAGTCCTACTAATTAATCCATAGCTAGGGGGAGAAAAAGTGGATTAATACATTTCCCAAGTGCATCTGCTCGTACATGAATATAGCGAAACCGACTGGAATTGGAACTTGGCTGTTGGCTTTTCAATTTCCAGCCGTTATCCGTTACACCAGGCGCGCATCCAAGCTTACTACACCTGGTATTCCCAAGCGGTCATCCAATTTGGTACTGTCCGGGCTCGGTGTTGCTTGGCTTCGATGATCGAATAAGAAACGGTGTTGTAACGTGGTATGGAGATGATAATTAACTGATACAAGTTTTAATAATCAATCCATAGCTAGAAGGGGAAGGCAGATTTAAACTCTTGCAATAGCATTTGCGAGCAAGTCAATATACTTCGGCTCTCTGACTTCCAAATACGAGCCGCCATCCACTACACCACTTGCACATTGAAGTTTACAGCACCTGGTATTTGCAAGCGTTCACACACCTAGTTAGTGACCAGACTCGGTCTAGCTTAATTTCGGTGATCATATGAGAACCGTGATATGGTCGTGAATCCAACGAATTCACAATTTATTTACGTAATTCACAAAATTGTTTCACACTCCATCAAAATAATAATACAAACAAAATGAGAACAAGATAATAAAACGAAGTAATTTCGTACGGATATTAGTTTACCAGTTCCTAACGGCAGTCATCGCTTTGTTGCAGCAATGACTTGTTTGTCTAATCGGTTAAGTTTTCAGTTTGTTTGGTTTGGTTTGTTTTACGGCATATTAATCTCATTGGCTTATTTAATGCCGACATGATTTTTATTCCTGGTAATATTTTTTTTTTCAAAAATGTATACCTGGTAATTTTTTTCTCAAAAATGTATTGCAGGTATTTTTTTCTCAAAAATGTATTGCAGGTATTTTTTCAAAAATGTATTGCAGGTATTTTTTTCAAAAATATATTGCAGGTATTTTTTTCAAAAATATATTGCAGGTATTTTTTTCAAAAATGTATTGCAGGTATTTTTTTCAAAAATATATTGCAGGTATTTTTTTCAAAAATGTATTGCAGGTATTTTTTTCAAAAATGTATTGCAGGTAATTTTTTAATGTATTGCAGGTAATATTTTTTCAAAAATGTATTGCTGGTAATAATTTTTCTTCAAAACTTTATTGCTGATAATTTTTTACAAAGTATTTCTAGTACTAAAACCTATTTTTATATTTTCATACTGTTTTGACCGCAGTTTGGAGGTTAACTATTTACCCATAGCTGATACCCTAACATGTGCTACCACCCCAAGCCCTGGAAACACCAGCAATTAAGTGGTGGTTCCACGCTCCTTAAAACCTCCTGATCCGAGGCGTTGACGCAGTTTATCGTCATACCCAGGATGGTATAAAGTTTTCTCGGGTTCATAAGCTGAAAGACGTATACACACTGTTTAACATAAAAAACGGAGCGTCTATTTCAGACACGGATATCCACTAAAAATGACTTTTGAAGTCATAAAAATGTTAGATTAAAAATAAATCCGGTAACATTTCATATACATATGAACATACGTGAAGAAAACAGATATAATTCCTTTCGTGACGAACACACCAATCCTAAGTGACATGTGCCAATGAATCAGATTTTTTGGCTTAAACAATAGGAGACACGTTCGAAAATATTCTTCCTTTGCCCCAACATAGATTTTTTATAGGCTTCAGGTTGGACATGGTGGAAATTCAATTATTTAAATATGCCCTGTCACACACTCATTGCCTAAAGTGCGCACTTGTTAACTGAAATGCTTCCTGTCACACAGGCTTTAGTCAATCGTCTGTCATCATGTCGTGAAATATATATATATATATATATATATATATATATATATATATATATATTGAAAACAGTGAATACAGACACACAAAATTCAACTATTATAAAATGAAAAGTGAAAATAAATCCTGGACTAGAGTAATAAAACAACACAACACCCACACTATATGGCTTAGCCAAAACAAAACATATCCATCAGACCCACTTTGTCCGGAATCAGCTCTGTATGCTAGAGATTAGCTCGAGCTATTCGTTCTTTAGTCCCATCAACCCAAAACACATTAGACATTCTGGCGATTTAATCCAAAGGATACGAAACATAAACATGTGAAACAAAGTTACGGCTTAAATATCAAATAATTATACACAAATTTTCCCGTTACAAAATGCCTCAGCACAATAAGAACCACCTCAAAAAATTCAAAGAAAATCTTTCCTCTAAATATCAATAAAATTATGCAAACATATCTCTATCTATAAAAGGGTGGATGTGTGTGTGTGTGTGTGTGTGTGTGTGTAACGAATGCACGGCCGCAATTTTCGACGGATTTGCACCAAAATTTACATGCACATGCTCCAAATTAGCGTCAAGGCCAAGACCGACTTTGCATTTTCCAACTCCCATCGATAGTGGAAATAATCGATTTTTTCAAGCTTCTACGGCAGTTTTCATGTAGTTTGCGGCCATTTTGTACTGACCAGATTGAAAGCCAATAGCTGGCTGTCACGAATAGGCAGGACGATTCTATTGGCCAACGTGACTGACACGAATGTTAATTAGCATGCTAGCATGCAAAAATATCGATAGCTGCATTCGTCACAAGTGGGAACAATTTAAATCTGCATGGCACTTTAATCCAATTGGCTCATTCGCTTGCTTAAACTCAACGTTGATTCTGATTCCGCAGAACTGGGTTGGGTGTGAAAAAGCATGTGTTGTTAACATTCTTTTTTCATTTGGTTTTTCCAGTTACGAGTCATTTTTTAAAGCTGATCGTTTTGTCTTCATTTTGTTTAGTTCTTTTTTCGTAACAGATTTAATGTTCACTATAGAGCTTAGAAAAAATTCGCAGTGTGAGATAGGCAAGAAGTAAGGCATGTAGCAACATCAGCACGGCAAAAGGCACTCCTTTAAAGGCAAGGAAGGGCAAAAATATTTTAAGTCAAGTGACAGCGATTCCTGTATAAGTCGTAGGATTTTTGAATCAAGCACGGGTAACGCTGGGCCATGCTATATATATATATATAATTATTTATTTAAAAATATGATTCCAACACACTACATAAGAGGTCTCATGTTTCAAAACAAGAGCCGAAAACTTCAATATAATTATTTGAATTAAATTGAATTAAAGTAAGCTCTGTTCCATCTTCAAGTGAAATTTTTTTGGAATAACTTATTTCTGAAATTTACGCCTTTAAAGCTAATTATTAAAGTAAAATGGAAAATTATAAACAGGACTAGAACTTGTAAAACTTGGGATAAACCATGCCCTTTGTGCCTCCATGAGAAACTGCACATTATTAAGTTTCTAAATAATAAAATTCTATTAAACAATAGACATGAGTTAACGGTTTTTTGCCGGCATCACCAAATTTTTGCATTGAATAATTAGCTTAAAAACAAACATACAATAAAATAATTTTTATAATCCATAGCCCTAATAAATAGTTTTAATACCCTACAAAAAAGATAACCCTTTATGAAGTCGTCAAAAAACAAATGTTACGGCAGTTTTTTTTTTTTTATATATATATATATATATATATATATATATATATATATATATATATATATATATACACAAAACCCTCTCATAAAGAAATAAAATAAAAAATAAATAAATCTCCATAGACACGTAAACCAGACTAAGCGAAAACATCTTCCGTTTTAAATTTAGACACCCCCACCTTACCCTGACTTGACATCTATGAATGTAACTCTATACTGATACAAATTATTAACACGAAACATCCCTCCCTATTTAAACAATCGCCCTGGCTGTTACCATGGAAATTTTGATTTCAATTATGAATATGCTATTAAAAGACGTAAATTTCAGAAATAAGTTATTCAAAAAAAATTTCCTTGAAGATGAAACAGAGCTTACTTTATTTAATTTAATTCAAATAATTATATTGAAGTTTTCGGCTCTTGTTTTGAAACATGAGACCTCTTATGTAGCGTGTTGGAATCATATTTTTAAATAAATAATTATATTTATGCTCTACTTTTGTATCGAGCACTATTTTTTAAAAATAATAACAAAAATACTAAAGAACTTTGGATTATTTACCTAACCAGTTCTTTCCTATTTTCTATATATTTTCACACACACACACACACACATATATATATATATATATATATATATATATATATATATATATATATATATATATATATATAGGGAGAGAGAGACAGAAGTGAAGACAATCCTTAAAAATCAATTTCGGTTATAATTAATTTCATGAATATATTTAAATTAATTTTTTTTTTCTTCGGTCTGAAGAGATGAATATTTAAATGAAATCATGAAATAAATAAATGGATTTTTAAGAATTTTCATTGCTTATTATTATATTGCTCTATTACTTACTTTGAGCTTTCTTTGGATTAATGTCTTCCTTGGAATTATCCCTACCATTTACTAACTGAAAGAAAGAAATGAATAGACTGATGAAGTAGTTTTAGATAGATAGATAGATAGATAGATAGATAGATAGATAGATAGATACGGCATATACTCGCGTGTCATGCTACTTTTGAAGATTTAATTTTGAAGCTAATTTTAAGGCGGTCGCATCATACACGTGATATAAAATTAGCGTATATACTGCTGGCCCTGGCTATACCGTTGACGAATCTATATATCCATTTACTGTAGTCAAATTAGCTTCAAAATTAGGTCTTCAAAGGTCGCGTGATACGCGAGTATATAAGATAGATAGATAGAAAGATATGAACGGACTAAGATAGATTGCCATGAATAGACTAAGAAAATAAACTAGATATATAGACGAACTAAAATAGAAAGAAAGAAAACAAAGAAAGAAATGAACAGACTGATGAAATAGATAGCAATAGAGATCTAAACTGTCTAAAATAAAAGAGAGAGAGAGGCACACTGGGAGATAGAGATATACAGAGACATATGAACAGCCTGTGATGAATAGATGCAAACAGACATACAAACAAATATGGACGGAGTGATATAGAAATGAATAGACTCCTTACATATATATACAGGATGGTAATAGAGTTACTATACAGTTAAATATAATAAAAAAGTAAAGTACTGAATCAGATGGCTTGCAGTTCGAACAGTATCGATAAATAATCTACTATTGTTTACCGTAGCATTTTATTATTAACCAGAATTAATCAGAACCATTTTAATAATAAATTTCTGGAATGTTGATTAATGGCTTTGTCTTATTTGTTATTGTGAGTAACTTTTATAGCGATTTTATTGATATATATATATATATATATATATATATATATATATATATATATATATATATATATATATAACAACAGACTGGCAGAATGGTGAATAGATAGATAAAAGGAGGTTGAGAAGAACAAAGTTTTGTAATTATAGTAGAAGTAGTCCTTGCAATTGTCTGCCATTCTGAGATGAAGCTACTTTGTTCTAAATACTTGATGTTTGATCGCAAAAGAATATATCGAGCCAAAACGATCACGATAAAAGCAACATAAAAAAAACGATTTTGTGGCGTCTTTTTGCCTTGGCGGCTGGACAAAAATAAACACCAAGATAAAAAGTCAACCAAACTACGTAGATACGAGTCCAAATAACAGAGTAACTTTTTTCTCGTCTGTCCAATTTGTAGATTTGCACTCGAGGCTACTTTCTTGCATTTTCCATCTTCTATTGAGAATTTTTCTTTTTCACCGTTTCCTCTCCTATAATCGAGGATATTTGCTTGGAACTTTTTCACCCGAACTCAATCTAGTTTTCTGCTTTACGAGTTCTTCGTTTTGGTTTTGGTTTTCCTTGTTTTGTTACCTATTTTTGACCATGCCATGTTGCTTTTCCAAGCGTAGCTTAGATGTGGCACAAGGCCGTAATTATGATGTTCGAACTCAATAATCAGTCGTAATTGATCTAGCGAGACAAGCTAACCATTACACCACCTCGTGGTAGTAGCGTGCAAAAAGGTATGAAGACGATGCAACGGTCCCGCGCATCTATATTGGGATGGCATCCAATTAAAGATAGATATGAAAATTTCGTTTAATAAATTTGAAATTGTCTCTGTTTACAGTCCTACTGGGATACTATTCTGACACTGGTAGTATGAGATTAAGATTAAAAGGGTTCATGTGAAAACCCCATATATGAATTGGAGAACTGGAAGTGTTAAAAAACGTTAAGGTGAAAACATGAGTTGAAATATGAAACAAGAAAAAAAAAGAGAATTTTTTTTTTTCTGATAAGCAGAAACGCGGAATGGTGTGAGTCCGAAAATATGATTTGAGAAATGTGGAATGTAGATTGCTTGTCAGCGGAGAGGCAGATGAAATTGTTATAAATCGCAACGCCATTAATGTAAACAAACTGAAATATGGTTTTGTAAACGTGCAAAGATTTTAATCGGTCATGTTGGAAAATCGACAACAAATGAAATTCTTTGACGTCAAGGGCATAGAAATAATTTATAAATACAAAGTTTGTCATCGGAAAAATTATTGTTTTGAATAAGTAACCGATGGCGGGCCCATAGTCGTCAGGTTATAGGAAGAATGATAAACAAAGTTTGTTGTCGAAGAATGTATTGTTTTGAATAACTAACCGCTTTGTTCGAACGTCAGTGTCGTTTACCCAAAATTGAAGAAAATAATTAATTGATATAAATATTGATGAGTCCTGAGGTGCGATGGGTGTCGGCCGAAATACATATAAACAAAGCGCTTAATCGACCCAGCAATTCGATCGAGACACATCAAGAGACGCAGACGAAACGAGACAGCAGCGGACGAAAGAGCTGCTAAAACTCACGTGAGCTGCTGTCGAGAGAATTCCCGACCAACCGACCACCCTCTTTCTATGTTGATTGAACTCGCTCCAACTTTGAGAAGAAAAAGATAAAGATACAGAGTTTAACAGGAAGGGTTTTGTTGTATCAAAACTATTAACGCAGCGAACCTCTTCGTGTTTTGTTTTGTTTTTTTATGTTATTTTTATTTTCGTCAGCAAAAGCGTTCTTTGTCCTTTTGTAGCACGGCTCAGCCACGGTCCGATTCAGCGCTCAAGTACGGACGAAATTCCATCTTCCCTTCTCTGTGATCAAGTAACACAATGTGGGACGGAAGCAAATGAAAAACGGAGCGAAAAGCAGATAACCATCAGTTGACCGGTGGCAGTACTGACCAGTGTGGGAACAACCCAGGATCTAGCCGGGTCGGCCGTGTTATGCCACAAGCTGGTGTGAATGCAGATCTGTGTTTTGATAACTGATACCGGAGTAGGTTAATCATTGCTTTTCCGTTTTGAGTTCAAAAGTTCTTGAGTTTACATAGCCATGTAGTGGATGACTTATTTTCCATCATACAACCCCTTTCCCCATAGATGCAAAGTCGCGAGTCTATGGTTACTTTACCTCGCTATTTCCATGGCAAATGTTCCAACGTCTTCCCTTCTTTAGTGCCACCAATTCAAACTTTTACAACTAAAGCCCGCCTTGTTACGTCCACAGGGTTGAATCAGCCGCAATCCCTACGTATCCCTTTGGGGAAAAGGGCGTTCAAATGCAAAAGCGAACGCGTCTTCTCAAGAACCAAGTTGTTTGTGCGTGACTGTTCTCAGAACGCTACAATATTAACCTCTTCAAATCTAGAATCAATCGTTATCTATCCTCCCTAACCTCATAATTTTCACTTCCTCGTCTTATGTTTATATCACCAACCTCATTAAATATCGCTCTACCTTGAGGGGCTCTTGAGATTTTATATTCGGTCAACAGAAACGACTTTTAATTACGGCTATTGAAAATTATGTGCACGTACAATAAAATGGTGAATATGCCCTATTGACCTCCAGTATTTTAAATTTTAATTCTACCGTCTAACTAGAAAAAAATAGAGAATCCAGAATACTGAAATACAAAACCATACTTTTACAAGTATTTTTTTAAAGACTGTTCTTTTAACAACTCTTCTTTGGAATCTATCGCTAAAATTACTCTGACATCTTTGGCAGGCTAGCAAGTGGATACTTGAGCCCAAAACAAGAAATATCTCAAAGACAAATGTATGTAAAGTGGGACAGGCTGATAGAGAGGTGGGAAAACGTTGAGAGGTATCGGCTTAAGACCTCGGACAGAAAGACTCAAAGAAAATGTCTGCAAATACGAAACGTAGGAATTACTTGTGATTGAAAGTAATGAGAAATGAATGGCATTAACAGGGAGGAGAGAAACCAGTGTGAATGAAAAATGAAATCAAAAAACATTCTGAATCCGAAAATAAAACAGAAAGAAAGAAAGAAAGAAAGAAAGAAAGAAAGAAAGAATTCTGGTACAGGCGATAAAAGAAAGAAAGAAAACAGAAATTAGGATGGAACAGACGAAAAAGAAAGAAAGAGAAAAGAAAGAAAGTTTGTAAAAGAAAGAAAGAAAGAAAGAAAGAAAGAAAGAAAGACATCTGGTACAGGTGATAAAAGAAAGAAAGAAAGAAAAGAGAAATTAGGATGGAACAGAGGAAAAAGAAAGAAAGAAAGAAAGAAAGAAAGACATCTGGTACAGGTGATAAAAGAAAGAAAGAAAGAAAGAAAAGAGAAATTAGGATGGAACAGAGGAAAAAGAAAGAAAGAAAGAAAGAAAGAAAGAAAGAAAGAAAGAAAGAAAGAAAGAAAGAAAGACTTCTGGTACAGGTGATAAAAGAAAGAAAGAAAACAGAAATTAGGATGGAACAGACGAAAAAGAAAGAAAGAGAAAAGAAAGAAAGCTTGTAAAAAGAAAGAAAGAAAGAAAGAAAGAAAGAAAGAAAGAAAGAAAGAAAGAAAGACTTCTGGTGCAGGTGATAAAAGAAAGAAAGAAAATAAATTAGGATGGAACAGAAGAAAAAGAAAGAAAGAAAGAAAGAAAGAAAGAAAGAAAGAAAGAATGTTTAAATCAGGGAAAGAAGGTAGAATCTCGTATAAAAAATTCGGTAAACCTAGTTTATCTTTCAGCAAAGAAATATCGATAACTTTTCTTTTCATGATGTTATGCATCACACAACGTATATGTATTATACCACCAAAGGGTTCATCTTGTTCTTTATTTCTTATGACGACTTCCTTCATATCGTTCGAAGCCAAATAATCAAACAGCAACTTTTTATCAAAATATACGCTCAATGTAGAAATAATACAGCACTCCTGCAGCCTAAATTCAAAGGCATTTACGTTCCCCGAAAAGATTAATCAGTAAATGTATGTTTGAAAACATCACCAGAGGTGAGGAGATAACAGAAAAAGAAACTAGACATGCGGAATGGCTACGGTGTTGATACATATCTTCCGCATTGTTTTTCATTGGAAGCCATTTGCATTCAAGAAAATAGCGATTGTTTTAAGAGTAATTTCTCCAACTAAAAATGAAATAATCTGAATAAATTTGAATGTATTTGCATTATGTCCAATATTATTGCCTTTAGAAAAGATATCACAACTTACAATCAACGAGTGAACGTGTTTGCTTATTTGAAGGAAGAGATTGTTGGCAAAGTGTCAGAATTTAGATTTATAGGTTGATACGATTTCTACGGCTTATCAACTCTTTCCTGATTATTTAAAACCAGAAAATATATTTATATAGTCAGAAGTTTTTTGTGTTTTCGGACGGGGAGATAATAATGGTTTAGTGATACTAGGACGCACGGTAGAATAATGAATTCTGGCTCGGATTTAGAACTAATACTTCGAATTCCAGTTGAGTTCATTACATTCACTTACGTGATAATACCTTTGGGAAAGGTGTGAATTCATCACTTCTCCCTCCAGCTATGGGTAAAATAGCAAGACAGACCGGGTCCTGTAAGCCTTGGGTCCCAACATTCTAGGAGAGGGAAACTCTGAATTCAGAACCTGCGGAAACTTGTTTGAGGACACTGTGACATATTGTGCACCGGTTCTCTGCATTCAACTCTTACAGAGTGTGGTTGGTTCTACACAAAGCTTCATCACTATAATTAAATAAGATGTGTGGTTAGTCTGGCTGCTGTTTCTAAGAACTGAGCTGCTTGACCCTCATAGATCGAAAATGACGGGAGAGTCTAGTATATACATGCACACATACACACACACACACACAAACTCATGAGTTACTTCTGAATTGCAAGATATAACTTCAGGTGCAAGTTTATTCTCTTCACTTTCACCCCAATGTCCTTCGGAAAATATACGAATCTATCTCTTCTCTCTCCAGCTATGGGTAAAATAGCAGGACAGACTTGGATGGCAACCGGTCTACGAGAAGGAAAAACTCTGAATCCAAAACAGTATATAGTCCTGGCAAAGCCCATACTACGCAGCTAAGGAAAGGATCGTTCGCATTGACTCGATGATCCTGACTATAGTCGATACAAGTCTTACTAATTAACCCATAGCTGGAGGAAGAAGTGGATTCATACCTTTCCTAAGAGTATTTGCGCGTAAGTGAACCTAACGGTAATTGGAAATCGGCTCTCCGATTAACAATTCCGAGCGATTATCATTTCACCACCCGCACATCCAAGTCTTACAACACCTGGTATTATATATGATATAAGCAGTCACCCATCTAGTTACTACACAGCCTCGACGTTGCTTAATTCGGTGATCGGACAGGAACTGGTGTTTCAACGTAAAGAAGTTACTTACAGAAGAAAAAGGATTAGCTACTCAATCGCTGAGGGTCTATAAAAGTTGAGGATAGATTTCTCACTACTGTACAACCTCTTTCCCTACAGGCGCGATATTGTAAGTCTGTTGCTACACTATTGCAGCTTCCATCGTAATTGTTTAGATGATCTTCATTATTTAATTATAGCAGTTCAATGCTTTATGGAGAGGGCATACGATGCCATATCAGGGAATTGGAAGCACCCTCATTTCTTCCGTGGTTCAAATATGAGAAGTTCAATTTAGTTTTTTCCAAGAACTGCCACTAATCTTTCTTTCCTGCACCAGTCCTATTTCTTTCTTTGCTTCTTTCTTTCTTTTATCGTCCATATCAGTTTTCTTTCTTTCTTTCTTTTATCGCCCGTATTAGCATTCTTTCTTTCTTTCTTTCTTTCTTTCTTTCTTTCTTTCTTTCTTTCTTTTATCGCCCGTATCATCTTTCTTTCTTTCTTTCTTTCTTTTATCGCCCGTATCAGCTTTCTTTCTTTCGTTCTTTCTTTCTTTTATCGCCCGTATCAGATTTCTTTCTTTCTTTCTTTCTTTCTTTCTTTCTTTCTTTCTTACTTTCTTTCTTTCTTTCTTTCTTTCTTTTATCGCCCGTATCTGCTTTCTTTCTTTCTTTCTTTCTTTTATCGCCCGTATCAGCTTTCTTTCTTTCTATCTTAATTTGTTTCTATCTATCATTCTTTCTCTTTTCTCTCTCTCTTTCTTTTTTTCTTTCTTTCATCTCCAGTACCAGTTTTCTGAAGAAACTTCTGGTCATACTACCTTTGCACTAAGAACTGCCACTGATCTTTCTTTCTTTCTTTCTTTCTTTCTTTCTTTCTTTACGAGATTTCTTTATTTCATCTCTCGTGCTTTCTTTTATCTTTTTACCAGCTTTCCTTTTAATAAAAGAAATCTCGTAGAAAGAAAGAAAGAAAGAAAGAAAGAAAGAAAGAAAGAAAGAAAGATAGATTAGTGACAGTTCTTATTAGCTTCTTCATGTTGAGAGGTATTTTGTCAAGGAAGGTGCTTTAATTTCAAGCAAGCACTTTCAACCTTTTCTAAGATTATTTTCCGGGGTAACTTACAACGACAAACATATTAATGTAACTGCGATAAAATCTACGTTCCGTCGTCATAGTGATTTAAAGCCCGCGTCATCGCTTCATCACGTTCTGTTATAGATATTTTAGAATTTTGAAATTTTTATCCGTTGTAATCATGGAATATTTACAAAACAAGCGTTTGAATATAAGGGGAATAAACTGGAATAGAAAGTAATTAGACAATTAATTGAGCCAGGACGCAGAGATGAAAAAAATAGTTAAATATTCTTCTCTTGCTGATAGATTTCTTTTTATTCCTGTGGCAGTGGAGACTTCTGGGGTTATTGGCCTTCGTTCGATGGCGTTCCTTCGGGGGATTGACGCGATTGCGTCTCGATTAAGGGACGAGCCTCGCGAAACGGAGTGGCTCTTGCAGCGTGTCTCACTGGCGATGGTTCGAGGTAATGCTTTCTCCATCATTGCGGCTGGCAGAGGTTAGAAAAAATTGTTTATTGTTACGTTGTTCTGGAATTGTCATCAGTGGTCAACTGTACTTGTTTTGTTTCAATAAATTTTAATTTGTTAATTTAATTAGACAAGTTGAAAGCATCAGTATAAAAATAAGTAGACACAATATGTCGATATTATTTAACAAAATATGTTTAAATGAAAATACGCTGACTAAATGGACATATAAATGTGTGTGTGTGTGTGTGTGTGTGTGCATATCCACAGTTCTGCAGCTGTTATCTGTATGATGTTCTTTGATAGGTTTTATGTAGATCATAATTGGGCCTGTCCTGCTAGACACACACACACACATACACACACACGCACACACATATATATCCACAGACAGACTGTTCCGCTGTATCGCAGCTCATCAGTGTGGCTAGACGTCCGATCTAGCTAGGATCGAAACTCGACTGAATTGGCGTCAGTCAGGGATTCTACTACTAAGCACGGCAGGGATGAAGGCGAATTTAAGCGTATTTATTTTTAGATGAACACAGAGGTGACTGAGAGAACTCGATTCGATTTACTGAAGAGTCTTACATAATTAGCCGTAATAGTCACTGTTTACAAAGTCACACTTCCTCCCCAGAGAACTCAACTGAAATAAACTTTCCAGAAGCATATATATTTTCATCCACAGACAGACTGTTTCGCTGTATCGCAGCTCATCAGTGTGGCTAGACGTCCGGTTGCCTTTAGCTAGGACCGAAACTCGACTGAATTGGCGTCAAATAAAACGCTCTGTTTATAATAAACAGTATTAATAACATTTACCGGTCTGAATCTCCGAGAAATTTTCATAGAAAATGTTCGTCCTCCGACAGGAATCGAAACTGCATCCTATACGGAACCGACATATAGCCTGACGTGCCTTTACCGATTGAGCCACAGAGGATCGTTCGATTAGCAAGGTCGATTTTACTGCTTTTAAACTACAATCTTCCATAAATGTCTCATGTACATTCATATCTGCTCAAAATAGAAGAAATAGATTGTTGTATGTATATATTTATATAATGTTTTCATTTTCAATACACGGTCAACATATTGCGTCCATGTTCATAGTTGATATTATTAAGTGTTGTTTTTTTGCTTTTATTAATAAGGCTTCCATTATTTTTAGCCTTTTTTTACATGTAGATGATGATATTATATTCGTGTTCCCAAAAATGCACAACACCAGTTGACAATAGCAAAAAAATTAGACTGATTATTTATTACAAAAAATTTAAAACCTTTAACCTTATAGTTAAAAACAATACTCCACCTCTTAGACCAAAACTAAATAGAATAAATATTATTTACGAATTTAAATGTCCATTAAGGAATTGTATTTCTGATCAATCAAAATTCGTAAATAATTATATAGGCCACACTACAACATGTTTGACACGAAGACTCACACTACACCTTTCTGACTATAGCTCAATTAGGTCTCATTTAAATATTCATGGAGACCTACCGGACCCTATTCGTAACATACTTGTTGACAACACAAAGTGCGAAATTCACAAAAAATATCTAATTTGGGAATATTGGTCTTCATATTTGGAATTTGGTTTATTTTTTTATATAAATGTTAATTAAATATTCGCTATAAACATTTTTATTCCTAAAAGTAAATACACTGATGATCAACTTTATTTATTTTGCGTAAGCTGTATTTATGCTTCTAAATAAAAATAAAAAGATGTTGAATTTTTACCACGCTTCCTATACAAAAATATCATTGTAATTTTACTTAATCTCATGAAATAATTTGCTAATGCTATTTCTTTCTTACAAATGTGACAAAATGTCCTCCAAGAAAGATACTTTTGTTAATGGTTTTACGTTTAATCTTTAGGAGATTTTCCTTCTGGGGAGTTTTTCCCTCGATTTTGTTTGACACTGCGAATTTTACTTAAAAATGCCATTAATCATTACATAACATGAATTTAATTCTTTTCTCTATGATATGGTCATTTATAACAACAAATTTAATCATGATAAAAAAAAATTATGTTTAATTTCTGTTTTTTCTTTCGGAAAGTATAAAAAAAAATGAAGTTAAATTTTTAGTTCAGTTTGCCATTAAAAACATAAAATAGTAATATTTTTTAACTAAGTTCACCCGAAGTAAAGCAGTAAAGCCACTGACACAAGGGGTTAATGGGTGTTCAAAAGTTAGAAATAGGAAGAGTCACTAGGGAGCGAGAGGAAGAGCAATCAGCAGAAGAGCATATAGCGATTGAAACTGCATTTAAATTTTTGAATATTAAAGTTGGCTGAAAAGTGTAGATACGGAAGAGAGTTGCACGTGTGAGAAAAGAAACTGTTGTCATAGAATTTACGGATGCATCTAGCCAGCTCGACTGTAAATTGGTGAGATTTCTTCGCCAGTCTAGTACTGCGCGTAAATTCAAAGAGTCTAGGCACTATAGCGAAGAGCGATATTCATTTGTAAATGTTTACAAAATATGGCACAAGGCCAAAATGAGGAATGGGGAAAAGGACGGTCTTCATCTGTCTTAACTTTAAATTTAGCTAGCCACAAACACTGACCCAAACATACCACAATATTCCTGGAACCAAAACAACACATTCTTACCTTTCTTACTACATTCACCATAATACCTCATTGTCTCTATGAAAATACTAACTAGTCCCCATATGTACAATTCATTGTCTGTGGGGGTAGGGGAATAAAGCAACAATTTAAAAACTAGTAATGAGTATTCAAAATATGAAAACAATACTATTTACAAGAAGCCAAATAAAATAATGTTAGTAATAACCCCCCACCACCACAATCCAGAGCTAAGAGCTCGTCCGAACAATTACCATAAAAGTATCTATAGAAATGGTAAAGAGAGGCAAACTTGCGTCGGTGGGAAACCGAGACGCCAGATCGGGACCAATAATATTGGTGATTCTTTGAATTTTATCAGAAACTAGATAAATAGCAGGAGCTCCGATTCATATGTGGCAGCAATATTCTGAGTATGGATGAATAGCAGACTTATACTTATATGAAACAAAAACTCTGCAGAGAATATTTTTTATTCTATAAAATTAATGAAAAAGTAATTGATTAAGAACAACTGTATTACGTATAGTTACTGTCATATAATTAAAGTTAATAAGTTTAATTCGATATTTCTCATATCGTAAATGAGGTATATGAAACGGTAACTGTAACCCTGGTGTTCAAACCACACCTTTTAAAACGCCAAATGTTTCTTTAAAGGTACTTCTCTGATCATAAAAATGTATTTAAGACAAAATAATTCAGCATTTAAATTTACTTTTTTTATATAAAAAAATAATAATTGAAATTTAAGAATCTCAGCGTCCCGCTTTCCTTAGTGCACATGCGTAGTCACATGAACATAAACATCACTTTCGTCCGATGAAGTCTTAAATGAGAAACACGTGACAGGAAAACTTTCTCCACTTTGTCATAGTTTCCCCTAATATATATATATATATATATATATATATATATATATATATATATATATACAGAATCAGAGAGAGAGGGAGGGATGTGAGAGATTGGTTTGTTTGTTTAGCTGTATATAAACTCCTTATGGGTCATTTAATGCTGAAATTTAATTTTCTTGTAAGCTTTGAAGTAATGAAAAATATGTTATTCTGCTTTCACAATTGAATACATGGTAGATGATGCTCACCTTTTGTGCATATACATGTTTGTGTGGACAAAAGTATTAGGGGCGGTTATATGTGTGTTTTATTTTGTAGTTTTGTTGATGTTATATTTTGGAATATTGTATTCATTTCTATGCTTGGTCGGCTCAGGAGATTTTGTGGCCTAGCATATGTGCTAATTCCTTAAGTTTATGAATTTTCCAATGATGTTCTTTCTTTATCTATGATTTCATCCTGATCCTACAGAGGGCGGTGATTTCCCTTTTCTCTCCATATGTGGTTAGCTACGCCTGATTTTTCCACTTCCCCTCGTTTTACAGGTTTTTGGTGTTCTTGAATGCAATAGTAATACGGAGTGCTAGAGAAAAGCAATGATAACAACGAAAATTGCAATATGATCTATGGTAAAAAACATGAAATGATAACAGCAAAAATTACAATATGAGCACTGGTAAAAATGGTTGCTGAAGACATTAGGTTTATAATACCCAGTAATTCATACACAGATGTCCTCAAGGACACATGGCACAGTGGATAAATGCGTTAGTTAGATCCAGTGACAGGACCCAAAGAGTTGTGAG